GATATCAGCTTTAAGCTTGTCTTTTGACTCCTAATCATACCTAAATGAACTTCATCCCACATTATACTACATGACACAATATTATTAATATATGTTTTGTGTTTTTATTTTTGTTCCTGCTATTAATTAAACTTGAGCTGTGTCCCAATTGCATACTACACAAAAATTGGAATTTGAGTTTTTTGTGGGTTTAGGGGTGAAAATTGACAAAGTATATGTGTGATGATAACAGATACGACTGTGTCAAGAGACACAGAGAACTGGCCGTAACTTTACAAAGTTGCAGTTTGACTGATGTCTGTCTGCATGCATGTCGTATCAAATTGTTTCTTGCTAGGACAAAGTTTAACATGACCTGTTACATGATTGGTTTAGAGTAAGGGATTGGGACACAGTGTCTGTCTCAGATTTTTCTAACATGAATCAGTTTTACCTGCCCTCAGTTTGCTGTGTTGTTTCTTTTCTACTTTCCCTAAATGCAACTTACTTTAAGCATGCATCAACATCCTGCAGTACAACTAAAACAAAACCAAAAATTAATAATAATAACCCATTCTCAGCCAGTACCATCTCTCTCCGATGTGGACCCAGACTGCTGGGCCAGTTCATGTTTAAAGACTAACATTACAGACAGATTTATCATCAAGAAACACATGAGAGAGGAGCCCGTCTTCCAGTCGAGTGCCTCTCTCAACAGTGTCTGTTTTCTATTGTGTGCATCCGGTTGTAGTGTGTGCAAAAATTTAAATGGCTTTGTTCTTTCATCTCAACATATATCATTTGGTAGTTTTAACTGGTCATATTTTTTGCATTTATCCAATTGATCACTGGCATTTTGGTTCTGATTATGGTTTTTGGCTTATTCCGTATGTTTGGTTTGGTTTTTTTGTCAATCGGATAATATTTAAAACACAGTGTGAAATATTTTTTGATATAATTTGACTTTTTGTGATTTGGAACTACTTCAGTGACTAACTTGTGTGTTGTATTTCCTACAGTACTGAACAAAAAAAGTAAAAGATCAAAACAACACCTGCACAATCAGTTCAACCACCTGCATTTTGTAAACATATAAACAAGCCCACAAATTAGTAGGTGAAGCAGTTCCAGATCCTCTTCTCAGATATCTTCCATTTTTCCAGACATTTTTTTTAATATTTTGACAAAATAAATTATTTTTGCTGAATGATATTTTGATTGTAAGAAAAAAAAAACAAATGAGTTGCATGGCTAAGAAGTTGCAGTTTAGGGTTTGTCAGACTTGTCAGTGTTAGATTTCTTCTGTTCTTTTCTGTAGATGGGCATTGCTCATTGTTTGTATATCCCCACCCTTCCTTACAGCCAAAAGCTCTAATGCCGCCCGACCGCTTCGTACTGCCTTTACATGGACATGGCAACTGACTTACACTGTCACCCTCATCACCCTCATTTCCTATGTAGTGTTTTCATAGGTCCCACCCCTTCTTCACCTTCTCCCTTGTCTTTAGAGATATTAAACTAGTCATCCATCCATTCTACACTAAAGAACAAATGATAATTTAAGCAAAAACTGTAACATAAATAGATTTTAGATAATACTGAAGTCTATTGCAATGAAAAAAATGTAGATACACATTTTTTGTAAAAGCAAATTATTTACCAGGAAAAAGCAAAACATAAAAAAACAGAATTATGGTGTTTATTTTTTATGTGGTGTGGATGTATGTGTTGTTGCCTCCCTGTACCGTCATCTTTTAAGATAGAACACACTCTACAATGGAGAAAAATGACATTTAACGGTACCAAGTGGCTATCCAACATTCTTACACAATTTTTCCTTTGTAAATTCTTCTCTTCATGCCTAAATCATGTGGGCAATTTGTTGATGTAAGTTCCAATATATTGTATGTATGTTTTCATTGTCTTTGAATTGTTGTTTTTAAAGATGCGGTTTGTAAAATGTGAGGAGTGGAACATCTCAAAATGTATTCTCTCCATGTAAATCTCACACTAAAAGAAAAGCGGCTAATGAACATGGTAGCTGTTTCATGTAGCAACTTTAGCAAGTTTACATCACTGAATGAATATATTCATAAATAAAATAGAGGCTCTATATGAAGACAAACTGCTACATGTACTACCTCTAAGAAATACGGACTGAATCAGAGCCAATGTGAGCTGACACACATCTGTGTGAGGTGGCACTTTTCTAATATTTCAAACTGCATCTTTGATCAACCTGTGACATTGACAACTAAACCTTTATATTGTTTGAAAATATAGAATAAAATAGCCTTTGTTGAGCTACAGAGTTGTGTGCCTGTGAATGTTGATGTTTGTGGTAATTTGTCCGTCAGAGTCTTTTTGTTTTGATTGATATACAGTGTGGAATGTGCATCAGAGACTCAGTGTGCAAATGTTTTGGCAGTGGATATTTTTCATGTCAATGGTAATTTGAATGTTCACTCCTGTGATACCTGCTTGAGAGCACATCCATGAGGAGGAACAATGCTGATCTCACTTTATAGCGAGTTGTTCCAGCCTCCATTCAGAATCTACAGAGACTGAAGAGGTGCATGTAGGTAAATTAACATCATACAGTGTCACAGACAACTTGCAACATGTTTTTATGAAAAAAACAATGAACCTTGCTTTCTTTCCTATTTTTGATAAACATGGTGAATAATTCTCAAACTATTAGTACTGTACATTTTACATTACCTGTGTGAGGTCCTACACCTAAGTGCTGACTAGTATGACGATTGTTAGTTGTTAGGAATTATTAACCATGTATGTGCAATTCAGGCTTCCATTTTCCACATCACACTGTTACTTCCCCATTAGAGAGGGATTTGCTTCCACACTAGTAGTGTGTGACAAATCCTGCTTCAGATTGTAGGTGAGCACAGAGGGACTTTTCACTGCCACCAGAAGGATTTGAAAACAGCTCCAGTGTTAAACTGTCAACATCCATCATCCTGCACAGTGAATGTCAAATAACAGAGAGAAGCAAGAATGACAAAAACAAATTTCTGAGTTTAAAAACAAGAGAAATGTGCTGCTCTGTAGTCACATTGATGAACTTTGTCATGTTTATGGAGCAGAAATAAACACATTCCTACAAACACTGGATGAAAGTATATCTTACACAATATTTCACAAGGGGTGAGCATTCACTGACTTTGCTATGCCATTGACTTAAAGTTATAGTTAAACAGGTTTTTCTTGGTGACAGAGCTGCTCTTACAATAGACTTGTTGTATTTTGTTGAATTAAAACAACAATGAAGAAAAAATGACAAAAACAAATAAAAAGAAGAAAGAAAAAACAAAGGAGGTTCTCAGTGCCATCAGAATTGTGATGATAGTGTAATCAAACTAACATGACCAGTTATTAGTTATCTTAATAATCTGTACTTGGCATTCAGCATGTTGAAATCAACAACTATCAAAGTTTGCATGAACAAACAAATTGATGAAACTGATATGCACAAATTTGTTGCTAATGAATTTGAGGTCACGATGTGCAATTATTTTCTAATATTTAGCTTTCACAGGTGGTTTGCATACGACAATAAAGACTGAGGACTTTATCATATAAAAATTGGCTTGGTTATTGTAACAAAACTTTTTCTAGAGTGTGCATCCAATTTTATATCAATCCTAATTCACCAAATCTTTCTCTTGAGTACTAATGGATTGTGATTTACATCCGATCCAATTTTTACAAACTGGTCGGTTGTCTACTCTCACTGAAACTTGACTTCAACATTGACCTGCAGAACAGCTCTACAGCTGAGAAATGTTTGTAGAACTATAATTACAATGTTGTGGAGTGCTGTAAAAAAACAAGAGGTTTAAGATGATCTGAGCCACTGAGCAGTGACACTGTGAGTCCCTCATTTCAGTCATGATGAAAATCTGTGTTGGTCTTGTCTGGACTAAAACATTTTATTTGATCTAAATTAATGTTACTGCATGTGCTTTTAGATGAGACTTTTTCTTAAACTTATATTTTCTTATTCAATAAAAGTGAGAAATGAAAAGAATAATAATGACTACAGTATCTTTTGACTGTACGTTTTCATCAGTAGTAGCATGTATAGTTCATTTTTTTACATTTGAAGACTGAAGATTCGTTTCCTTTAAATGTTTCTTAAATGATATTGAGAAAGAACTAGAACCTTGAATTTAAAGGAAACTTTGATCTTTCTGGCTCATCCTTGCACACCTCTTAAACCTTTTGAGAAATATGTCAATGTTCTTTCAAATTGCTTATTTAGAGCTCTTAAATTGATATGCCAAGTTTCTTGCAATGGATTTGGATTTAGCCATTGCCTGTGTTGTTTATTTTATAAAACTCCAAGGCTGCCCTCTAACCTGTCTGTCTCCAACCCCAGGAGCTGAGTTAGTCATCCCAGTACTTGAGGATCCATTAGCGCACCCCTCTGTAGCTCCTTGTACACCCTTCATCCCCACTCCCTCAACCCACCACCCACTCCTCACCATTACTGAGACCACCAAAGAGTCCCTGTCCAAGGCCACTGAGGCGGGGGTACCTTGCTTGTCGGACCGAGGCAGCGATGATTGTGATGATGATGGCTTGGTGATATCGGGGTATGGCTCTGGGGAAGCATTCAAGTCTAACCTGCCCTCTACTGATGATGAAGATTTTTACACGACCTTATCCTTGGTAACAGATAAGACCTTGTCCACGTCTGGCTTTGAAGGTGGCTACAAAGCTCACACGCCCAAGACTTTTAGACTTAACAAACCGCAGTAGGACTACCACTACCGCTATACTACTAACTGCCGACCAGAGCCGCACCACCGCCACCTCTGCCTCCACCGCAACCCTCCACAATGCTCCGGCCAAACAGCCGGCTGGCAAAATGAATAACCGCGAGCTAAAACCCCAGCCCGACCTAGTGTTGCTTCCATTGCCCACATCCTTTGAGGTAGACAGCACCAAGCCGAGGGGCCCATTAATAACCTCCCCAATGTTCCATAATATACCCACAGCACTCCCCACAGAGCCGGGCGTCAGGCGAGTTCCAGGGCCCTCGGAAGTGGTCCGTGAATCTAGCAGCACCACCGGGATGGTCATCGGAATAGTGGCGGCCGCTGCCCTGTGCATCCTCATCCTTCTGTATGCCATGTATAAGTACAGGAACAGGGATGAAGGCTCCTACCAGGTGGACGAGAGCAGGAACTACATAACCAACTCAGCTGTGCAGAGCAATGGCGCTGTGATGAAGGAGAAACAGCAGAGCTTGAAAGGCAGCAACAAGAAACAGAAAAACAAGGATAAGGAGTATTATGTGTGACTGTGAGACTTTTGTCAACACAAGAGAAAAGAGAGAAAGCACTAATCACTTATGAGTTTCCTCGTGAGGAGCTATGACAAATGATGGTATAACATGGAACTTGAATAATCTTATACTGTGCTGAGTAGTTGAACTGATGATATGTACTGTAATATAAAGCACACTTACTATTGTAAGCATAATGGCAAGGCTAAATAGCAACTTTAGAGATCTTACTCTTCTATCTGGTGAGAGACATTATCAGTATAGAATTATTTCACAGCTACACCATTTTCCTAAGTGACTTTTAGAGCGAAGTGATCCTTGGCATTAACAAAACACTTTTGTTAGAATTGTTAATTACAAAAGGTCCATAATCTTCTACATTTTCAGCATGTAAACAACATGTAGTGCTTAATGAGGGGTCAAGCACATGAACACCATCAAAGTAAAAAAGGATGCTGTATCAGAATATGACAAATTTTATGGTTTATACATTATACAAGTGTGGTGTCTTATTTTTGCTTTAAGCAAAAGAAAAAAAAAAAAGAAGAACATCAAGAAAAAAAAAAAACTTTTCTGTGTATAAAATGAATCCAAGGAAGCAAATTGTGCGGTGGGCAGAAATCATAGACTCTGTTCACTCTGGCATCTGATTTATCACAGTGATTCTCATTATCTGATACTATGTGGAAAGAAGTGGCCCGATCTCTAGGTCAGAAGGACAGAAGCAGACTGTAAGATTCATGCCATTCTAATTCTACAGTGAAATACGAAGGGTAAAAGTCCAGTATACAGTCTTGTCTAAATGCCAAAACAGCTCTTCATCACCAGATCAGACGTTAGCCCTGCTCTTCACTTTGAACCCTTCAAAATGTTAACCATGGAAAATGATCTCTTAAAGAAACGGTGCACAGCCAGTGGTGGTTTTATCTTTTTGCTAAATCGTATGTTGGTTCATTGCATATCGTACTCTTTTTCTATGGTGTCAGGAGGAAGACAAATGCAGTACTACAACACTGTTAACAAATGTGTATACAAAATAAATCAAATGTTGAAAGTGTGAATTCTATCTGCTGTCACAATCAGCTGTGTCAAAAAACAAGAAATTTGTTTACATATTTTATTACACACTAGCTGTTGTACTTTGTAGGTAGGAAATTGTACATATCCATGACAGTTGTAATTTTTTAGTACCTCTATTGTACAGACTGAACATATGGTTTATCAGCGTATTTGACATGATGAAATCTGTTAACTGTTAATTTACATTGAGAAGGACTTTAATCAGAATGTGGAGAATCATATTGATATTCATAAAGAATAAACATGTATTGTTAGCCTAGAGATCTAACCAGAGATGTTTCTAAAGTTGCATGAATATTTAACTACTTGCAGTTGTCCAACAAATACAAGGTGCCCATCCTTCTGTATCATGGCTTTCTTGTTCTGGGTTACACTAGTGTTATTTCTTTTTGAAAGAAAATAAATTCAGACTTGTGACAAGAAAGACAAACAGGCTTATGGGTGGGGCTTTAAGGTCACAGAAACACAAGCTAAAATGGTGTTTTTGACTGGTCACCTCAAATCATAGTCTTGTTACTTCTTTATCATTAGTTAACATCTTGTTTTGACATTACTTTACTGTCCCATTATGTTGCCATTTTCTGCCATTGTCATTTAATGATGTGGAGGTGCAGTCTTTCTCTTGACTGGAATTCACATTTTTGTGTTACAATTGTTACTTTTCGCAACCTTTTTTCATCAGTTTGATAACAAATAAAATATTCTTTTTTTCTCTGAAATTACACTGTAGTCCTTGGGTAAATCCAATTCTGCAGTCCCTCGTGGCAATACTATAACATGTTGACGTTTGCCCCGATTCTCAGCATGGAACCATCTCAACGCAGCAGGAGAGAGAAAATCAAGCAGCTGTCAAGCCCTTGGAAAACATTTAAATATAAAGCAATGATCAGAATTCAGCTGAATTCCTTCATCAGGGCTGTGTGTGTGGTAACACTGACTGCAACATGAGCAAACAACCCCACAAACGTCATTAGATTGTGTCTCAAATGTTGTTATATTCTGGTTCTGGTGCATGTAACTACATGACATCATTAGTTTGCAGCCAGTCACCAGAAGATTGTGTCTTTGTGTGGAACCCAGGAGCACATGTTGGATGAAGCTACTGCTACTGGATTTGGTCAATGTGTCATCTATCAGATGTTAAGTGGGGTAGAGATGTTCCAACTACACATGAGAGGGGGGCTGCACGATTGTTTCTTGTAAAGTGTCCCTATATATGAAACACTGTGTCAGACTCTAGGGCAGGTGATCTGTGTCAAGCCTGAAAACTGAACATATAGATCATTTATACATATTCCTACTTTCCATTTATGGCCACAAGATTATGTTGTGCAGTTATGCAACTTGTTAGGACAATACCATGCAATACCATGCTTACTGATACGAATGGTGAAACTAAAACAAATAGTTCTTTTGTTATTTACTTATACTCACCTAAAGAGACCTATTCATTTAACAGCGGGTCAATATGACGATGTACACATCTCACAGAGGCCCCAATGAAACTGGAATTGTGATCATGATTCCAAAGCAGGGGGAAATTCTACTGCTCAAAACTTGCTCTTTTACACCTCAGAGACAAAACTGCAATTCTATTTTAGGCCTCATTTTAATTAGTATTTTGTCTGATATGTGTCTCATATTTTTCTCCTAAAATTCACCAGGAGAAATAGATGAGACACGACAGTTAGCAACAGGAGTCATGCTTGAGACTACCCTGCTGAAATCGACTAAAAGATATTTGTCTAATTTCTAATCAAAGTATGTCAAACACTTTCTAAATGTGATTTTATGACTAAGATACATTGTGCTACTCATTAGGTGATTATGTTTTCCATATACTTTGACTAGAAATTAGACTCATATTTAGTAACATTTTGAGTGTTGCATTGTATGTGGCTCCCTGTTGGTTTGCAGTGTTAATCCAAATTGTACCTGTAACAAACTGACAAATTACAGTCGAGTAGCCTGCTGTGCAACAAGAGGCTACCATTTGTCAGACAGCAAAAGCTGGTCTGCTGTATTCATCATTTAGAAAATATGAACTATAAATGCACCTGTTCTCAGTAAGAGTATTTTTACAACAGTGTAACAGTGCTTAGCAGAGCAGCACAACAATGCACAACATTCAACAACTTACAGTTACAACTTTTTTGACCATGGTCATCTCAACAAATGTCCATCTCTGTAATGTGCCACATTCAGATATATTATATTGTTTGTCCTCATGCAGCATGTTTTTACTAATGATTTCTGTCCTTAGTTGCTCAGCCGGTGTCCATCCATCAACGGCATTGCAGTACATGATGTAAGATGCAAGAATAAAAGGAAACACACATTACAAATGAATTCTTACATACAGTAACAGCATTGTGCCCAATGGAAACTAGTTATACAATTTTAACCAGGGAAACAGTCAATGTCCATTTATTTTAACTTTCTATCTTTGTGTTGTAGAGCAGCTGTGTTTTCTGACCACTACATGATGCTGATGACACAACTCTTAACACACATACTGTATTTTCCTGGTAAATCTCCTGTTGGATTACATTGTCTGTGAGCTTAATTTCCAAAATGTGGTAAAACTGCAGAGTCTTAGCAGCAAGGTTATATTTGAATTAACTGTCTTGCCACTACATTGCTACCTTTTGAGGCTTTTCTATGCTTGTCTATTTGGGGTTTGCAGTGAGTGTTGGTAATGCTTCTTAAAATGAAGGTTTGTGTATTGCAATTGTGTGATTGATCTGAAATGTTTATTTGCAAAATATTCAGTTTCAGTGAAGCTTTGAATTAAGTTGACAGCTGCAGGAAATTAGTCCAACTGAATATTTGTGCCAAATTTGAAGGGATTCCCTCGAGGCATTACTGAGATATCAATTTGACAAGAATGGGACAGATAGATGGACGGACAGATGGTCAAGTAGGAAACATAATGCCTAGGGCCCTGGCTATCACCGACAAGGAGGCATAAAAACATGACTTTTTATCAAGGTATTGAAATGTTCTGTTCAATATACATAGTTATGTTTCTAACACACAAAGCACTTACTCCCTCTACTGCAGCTCGAGCAAGGAGGAGATTCCTCTGCAGGAATCTGTAACCAATTAGAATACAGCTACAAATAAACCAATCAAGATATGGCTTCAAACCAACCAACCAATCAGAAAAGGGCTACAGACCAATTAGAATATGACTACAAATTAACCAATTAGAATACAGCTAGGCTAAAGACGAGCCAACCAATCAGAATCAGGCTACAAACAAATGTATTCTGTGGTAGTAGTGGTTGGTTTGTAGCCACATATTGCATAAACGTGTTCTCATGGTTGTTGCAGCATTTAACTGTTACTGGTGTTATTTTGTTCCACAATATTTCCACTGTTTCCACACTCTGATCACAGTTAGACCATTCCATATTACCAGTCAATGTGGTTAGACCACCACAAGTGATGCTGGTGCTTGATTGGTGACATTCTCTGACATGCTACAGACCTTCAAGTGATCATCAACATTCTGCTGTGAAAATGAAACCTTTCTAAAATCTCATAAAACCAATTTTAAATTCATGAATGCTTGTGAGATTATTTATTAAATAATGCTGAGACGTGATTATTGCTGTTTGAAAACTTAACCGAATACCCTGCCTGGATGACTTGAAATACAGTCAGCTGTGGCAATTTTTGTTGGTCTCTGAAGAGATTTTACATTTTGTATTAATGATAAATCTTGGGTTGATGCATAATGTTTAGCTCCTCGTTGTTCCTCTACAACAGGGGTGTCAAACTCAATTTCATCCCGGGTCACATCAGTATTATGGTTGCCCTCAAAGGGCCGGTTGTAACTGTAAGACTTAAGATATCTACTCTTTGTCATATTACATAATTGTGATATGCGATTAAGAAACTCTCATCATTACTCATCCATCAAAGATCAACATTTTCAAGTGAATAATGAAGTTCTTTTTTTTTGCAATATTTATTACATTAACTTTGTTTAACTTTTTGGTTGCAGTTGAGAGGGGCAGAACTATGGTGCAACAATTAATTGTGCTCTGATCTAAAGTACAGTCTGTGGCATATATATTGTTCATACATGTTCAGATCATGTGTGATAGATGACAGTGGTGTAACATTTTACAAAAACAAATGGCTGCAAATAGCCATGCAGTGTGCATAAGCCCAACTAATGAGGAATAGCTTTGATTATAGTAAACATGTGGCTGCATGAACACACACACCTGCACACACACTGAGCACATATACAAAGTAGTATAAGTAATAAAGTCAAAATAAAAATGAGAATTGTTTCAGGTCATTACTATACTGGTCAGGTTCTGGTTGAGGTTGATGAGATGATACTGCCTGGCCCTGTACACACCAAGTAGATCCCTCCTCACCGTGAGACACCATATCACACACCATCCTCATCCACTGATCCATCTCTGCATATCACAACAAACACAAAACAAACAAAATGCAAGCGCAACCATTAGAATGCACACATATTACATTGTACCTATTCCAGATTTTAATACATTTCATGATATTGTATATATATATATATATATAGGAGGAGACGGTAAAAGTCCTCGATTGCAGCATCCCGGAACTTTGCTCTCAGGCTACTGTTGCATTGGAGTTCTATTAACTCCATCTGAGGGTGATGTGGTGCACTGTCGATGCCGGTGGTGAACGGATTGGCAAAGATGGCAAAGGTTAAGTGCTGTGCTTTAAAGTCAGAGAAGCGCAGATCAAATTCATTAATCAACTGGTTCACTTTGGCAACCAATCAAGCACATGGGACTGAGGTTGAGATGCTCTGACAGATAGAAAAGTGGGCAAGACTGTCGTGTTCAAGTTGGGACTTCCATAGGCGCAATTTCAGTTGGAAAGCTGTGATCGCATTGTACATCCCTGTTATGACTTCTTGGCGGCCCTGCAGCCTCTGATTAAGTTGGGCGAGATGCTCTGTTATGTCACACAACTTGGCAAAATCATACAGCCAGTTTGGATATGAAAAGGATTTCCCTTTACTTTGCACAAAAGAGTTATTACTTCCTGAAGCTCAAAAAATCGCTCCTACTCAGCCACCTTACTTCTGTATGGTATGGCACATCTCTATGTTCTGTGCCCACCTCCTTCAAAAATAATTGGAACTGACGATTCAAAAATAGGGGAATATCCAAAAATACATTGAGATTAGTAAAAATGTCATTATGGATATCCACAATTCATATTATGACTAGTAAAAATGTAATTTCAGATATCTACAATTAGAATTATGACTAGAAACAAAACAATTGCAGATATCCAAAAATGTATTGTGACTATCTGTTGACGGGTAGATAGGATGCCATTTTAACATAGAAAGGGTTCATTGATAGGGGTGTCGAGTAGCTCAGTTGGTTGAGCATCCACCCCATGTGCAGAGGCTAAGGTCCTCGCTGCAGTTGGCCCCGGTTCAAGTCCCACATCAGACAACCCTGCATGTCATTCCCCCTCTCTCTGCCTCCCCATTTCCTGTCCTCTTTACTGCACTGTCAATAAAGGCCCAAAAAAATAATAAAAAAAAAAGGGTTCATTGACTATCCACAATTATATTTTAGATATCCATAATAGCATTTCTCCTAGTCAAAATGTAATTTTGACTAGGAGAAATGGCAATTAGAGATATCTGCAATCACATTCTGACTAGTAGAAATTGTATTTCAAGATATCTAAA